GACAAGTGGCCTTTTCATTTTCTAGAAAGCTAAACATGTGGCACTTTATCAGAAATTTCTGCTAAATCCCACAACCCACTACCAAGTTGCCAAACACATGGCCTTCTCATTTTTTCTATAAAGTTAGACACGTGACATTTTCTGAGAAGTTGTTGCTAAATCTCACAACCCACTATCACCATTTTCAATACATTCCTAAAAAATGCAGAAAATACAAATGTGATTATCTAGAACCACTTCTACCTACATTCTATCAATATCGGTTAATTATTAACCCTCTACTTATTATAACAAAAGAAAATTATCCATATTCTAATCATTATTGAAAAGTTATTTTTTAAAATAAATATTTCTTGAAATTTTAATAATTATTTAGAATATTAATAAATATAAATTTAACAGTATTGATTCCATAATGTAAATTTAACATTACCGATTCCTCGTACTTAATACAAGGTCATTTACTAGTCCTAAAATAAAGAAGCAACACACATGCACTTACACGTGTCATGATGGGGTTAACCTGTGTTTGCAAAAAATGATTTATGAGGGTTTCCAATTTTCATAAATATTGCTTTACTCTGTGAACATCTTATCGTTATTTGTCAGACATTTAACAGTCATGCAATTGATGTGCTACCGTAGTTATGGCTAATGAATGACAAATGAAAACGGGAGAATGACAAATGCCAAATGCCACATCAAAATACTAAATCGTTGCAACAAAGGAAAACGGGAGAATAATTGATCAGTCCAGGTCAGAATTTTTTAGCCCTACCATGCAGGGGATGAATCTTGACGTAAATTGATGCTAAATTCATGGGAAGGATGTAGTTTATAGAGGGGCTATTAGTAGACTATTGGGGGCCATCATTCAGAATTCTGCATTGGGTTGCATTGTACTTAACCCAAGGAAATGGATCTGCTCCTCACGCAGCATGCCTCATACTGACCTCACAGGCACATCCCACCATGTATAGGGAACATCTCTCGTACTTATATGTTGTCAATCATGGGAGATGTTCCCACTGCACGGTGGGATGTGCCTAAGAGGTCAGTGTGAGGCATGCTTTGTGAGTAGCAGATCCGATCTCTAATGCAAGACTTTTCCTAGCAATATACTTATTAACAAAAATACTTCAATTAATAAGGGGGCTACCTTAGAATAAGAAAATGTCAAATTGACTCAACCTTTCTTTCTTAATTCGTGTAGAAATAGACTTTGCCTGACATAATTTCTTTTATCAATAAGGAGGGGAGGGGGGGCCAATGTAAGTATACAAATTTGGATTCTATGGAGACAATGTTATAGACACTCAAGTATGACTACAACACCCTCACATAGCATCACAAACTTAGGTCACACATGAAGGATGATCATCCAATGATCATGTTATAAAAACATTCTAGCCATTAGAGTGGTAAAAAATCAAATTTTCATTGAAACCCTGATGCTGAAACCGCATAAGAGAAAATTTGGAGTTTTCTCTTCTTGGATTGAATGGATTTTAGACCATAAAAAATCTGATATTTTCAGTCAAAATTCATCACATTACCTGATTTTGAAGTCCACAATTGCATAACTCAGTGTGGTGTTCACACCCAAGCCAAATCTTCCGCAATGCACTGCAACAAGTTGAAGATGGTGCAACTTTGAACTTGCAGCCTTGAATTCTTTCTCCAAAAGTTATAGCAGCAAAGGTCTAACATTTCTCATGTTTTTGGGCAAGAATTTTGACCCCAAACAAACCTGAAATAGTGCTAGAAATAGTGGATAAAAGGGCCAGTCAAATGGGGTTCAAAACCCTAGCCAAAAGATCACACAAAGGTAGTGTGGAATTCAAGTAGTAATGAGAGAGTGGGATGGATCCGACCTCTTTATGTTCCAATCTATTTATAGACTTGGGAGGGATGAATGAGTCCTATCCTAATCTAATTATAACGCTTAACTTGTTTAAGACAAGATTAGAGTGAGCCTAGCTCTCTTAAATCAACCATTAGATTGGAATCCATCTAACTAGTCTACGTAGTCAAATCCTAATCTTACTAGACTTTTCTAACACATAGTTTGACTAAGACTCTAATGTGATACTTCTGATAATCCATTAACTCTCTAATAATTCTGGAAAAAAAATTATCCAATTGGAAAATCATAGCTTGTATGGTGTGGGACCCATAACTCAATGGGAGAGCTAACATGTCACATGCTTTATGCAAGCTAATAGAGACAACCACTTAAATTCTCATTAGACTCATAGGCTAATTCGACCCATGCTGATATGGACTTTGGTAATCAGTCTCATAAAGTGTCTAAACACTTTTTCCCTCTTTGTCCTTATGACATGGTGTCTAACTTCCAACACCGCTTGAATCCTTCGTTGAGGATAAACAAAATTCTACTATCAATAAATTCAGGAGTCCAAAGAGAAAGTTGTACAAAGTATTCTCTATGTCTTGACATAGTGGCAGATCATATCACATTAATCATCAATTGGCATACCATCATTGAATGCCCCAAAATATACAAATTTTTTACCTAGAAGGATCTCATTGGTTGGTATATGAAAAACAAACAAGTCTAATAATGAACCCGATATCAATATCAAGTTAGGGATTACAAGCAACACCCATTTGTTCCATCTATCATAAAGTTCTGGAACATGCTGGGTTTGGTCTAATTCAATATTTTTTGTAAACACTCACCCTCACACCTTAGGTCATAACCTGAGTAGTTGAAACCCACTGCTCCACAAACTTGGACAGTGTGAGAATGTCAACCTTGTTAGGATAAATTTCCCCAAGTATATTCACTAGTTGTGAATATTTGAGCCCATATTAAATTAATTATGTGGTATCGTACATAATACTAATGTGAACCAAGGATAATTTAGTAAAACAACCCAAATGGCACATGGAATGAATGTTCCTTTATTCATATAAATTATGCAATACATCGGTTGGAATTGAGGGCATACACACAATCTAAAATATACTTATACAATAAGATAATTATGCCAAAGGCACCCAAATACAACTACAACTTAGCCTAAAAGTCCTCATAGTGTAGTCTCACGCAGATCTTAAACCACTATAAACAACTATATCCATGAAGAAAAGTAATGAGCCATTGTCACAACGTAGAACACAACCAGTAATACCTTAGAAACATCACTATTGTTCCATGATTCAGCACATCACCACATTAGTTCTTCGCATAATAATGACACATCCCTTGGCATTGCAGCGCAGTAGTATAACATATCCACAAAGACCCACAATGACAAATTAATGCATGAATATCTTAACAAAAGCATCTAAGGCAAAAGGGGCTTCTAGAAGGGTGGTACCTAAACCCTTGGATCTCCATAATGAGATGTGGAAAAACCCTACTTATGCCCTCTATGTCTTAAATCTAACTGATTAAAAGACTTTCCCACTTTTGGGAAAGTTCTCTCTTCTGTTATGTGATTTCCTATTCCATTAAGTGACTTCCTCTATAAATAGAGGATGCCTTATTACACCCTTGCGTAAGCTTCGGGCTATGCTCTCAGCCTCTCTCACAACCTCCATTGAAGCTTTCCTGCAACCTTCTCTCCTCTCTCTTCCTCTCCTCTCCTCAGAGCCATCTACCATCTTAGAGAAAGACCTCCCTGCATTGTCTTACCTCTCCCACTCACACTGGTTCTTTCGGGTCTAATAGAAATTGCAAGGTAGGGTGTCGATCTCAAAAATTGCTTTAGGATGAATCACCCCAAGTAAAAAGAAATGGAGAATCCTCTCAACTACCTCACTCTAAGATGAAAAAGCCTAGTTGAGACTTTGTAAGGCACTTTCTCTCTCCAATTCTTCATGATTTTCGTTTGTCATTCAACCACCAGCCTTGGACAATCACTCTCCAAAAAAACAAAGAATTGGGTTTTCTAGATTAAATTAATTGGTCTTCTAAGCTTCTATGTAGTTTGCTGATCTCAAACATGCATTGAATCTCCCTTATAAGCCCTAAATGAGGCTCTAATACCAATTAGAAAGTAAAAATAAGGAAAAAATAAGAGATGGATGTGAAGATAGAAGCAGAAAGTTCTTGGAGAAGAAAAGAAAGGAGAGAAGAAGATAGGAGAAGAGGTGCCAAAAGTGTTCTAGCCACCCCAGTGAGACGTGACCCCAACTTTCTTGAATATAAGAAAAAAAAAGATTTGGGACTGTTCATATTTTTATTAACGTTTCGATAATTAATAAAGAAAATTAGATGACACTTGAAGGACAATTGCACTTTTTCAAATGACATTTAACAACTGGTTAACGGCTGGTTTATGGTAGGTGCTGGATTGACATGTTTTGAATTGTCACATTTTAAGGACCAAAATGACACTAGGCCCAAAATACAGGATACTAATCGGAAATTTTTCCTAAAATTTATATAGTTATAAATATTAACACATTTTAGTTCTTTCATCATTTTTAAATGTATTTATAACTTATTTATAATCATCGGATATTTACATTTGGTGTTTGATGATATATTTTTTAGAATTTATTTAATTTCTCTTAAAAATTGTCTTAAGACTCTTTGCCTTGGCCAATACTTTGAACCTTGATTTAAACAAGAATCATAATGATAAGATCCCTGTCATTTTGATAACCAGATATAATTAACAAGGCGTTGTCAATGGGTAGTATATATTGATAGACAATATTACAAAAGTTCAAAGTACCGATATGTATCAATTTTTTATCCCACTGATACATTAACTACTACGAAGGACAATATTACAAAAGTTCAAAATAATCTGCATACTATCCATCAACTGTACTGTGCAACATGCGTGGAATGGCACCAAAATCATAATACTTTAAAGTTTAAACCTTGACAAAGCTAAGCTGATTTTGTAGACATGATCTTTCCTATTTGCCCAATACTCAATACGATATTGACTACTTGGCATTGCTGATCTTTAGCCTTTTTATAAAATGGCAATCATAATTCATAAGAATTTATAACAAAAAAAAAACATTAGGGTAGTCATACATTTCCAATGCACAATAGCTTATTCATGCGTTCCATTTTTCTCCAGTGGGGAACACAAAATAAATCCCCAAGAAGTGTAAGCTTGTGCAGATTAAATAAGAGTACCAACAAGAAGAATCCAAAGACAGAAAAGGAAAAAGAATAAATATAGGAATCAGATTGTGAATATCAGATGGCAGATCCATCCTGAACGACTTTTCACAAACTTCCAAGTTTGGTAGATCCACCAAGATCAGATGATTTCTCAAGTTGAACGCAGAGATGCTATCCACATTCAAGAAGCCATGACCAAGTGTTTCAATCGTATGTAGAGTACTCATCATAGATAGTTGATTGGTCCATCTAAGCTTCCAGAGGCAAACTGGAAATCCAGATAAGAAACAAAATCTATTTTAGAACTAACATGTATTTGATGAATTGGTAACTTACCATTAAAAAAAAAGAATTAATTAGTGTTAGAACGAGCAAACTAGATTTAAGGGGCAGAAAAAAAAAAAAAAAAACTCAATCAGCTTGATTTTGGAGCCAATTCATCGGGCTGATTTTGGAAAACGAGAGCCAAAAGAGAAGAAAACTTGATACACAGTAAAGGAATAGTTTTGTGCACCCTTTTAGAAGTCCAAGGACTCTTGAAATTAAATAACCATACATAGGATTTGTACAGCTCAATGTTTAAAAACGTGGAGGCGTGTCACTACCTAGAGACATGAGGTGTAAGCCTCCTCAAGAAGAGGAAGAAGAAAAGGATTCTTGTTTCTTTAAAAGATGTCATATTAAGAAGAATGAGGATGCACAAGGCTAGTTGAAGCAGGGCCTCCTAGCACAGAAAAACACATTGGTTGCATCAGAATAGTGGCCCTGGGGGGGAGCCAAGGCAGTCCAGAAGCGGAGCCCCCGCCAGAGTTCCTTTTCCTTCCCATTCCTATACTTTTCTTCTTTCTGTGTGAGGCACACACCTAGCATGCCTCATGCTCCCAAGGTTAGGGCTGTCAATGGGTTGGGTCTGGATTGGGACTGCCTGTACCAGTCCCATCAAAACAATAAACCCAGAACCGTCCCAATTAATAATTGGGTCTAACCCAATTACACTGAGCCATAATCATTTAAATAAATAACCTAAAACTTGTTTTTTGATAATATAACCTTAATAAAATGATAGTAAAATAATAAATTATTTATATATTAATAAATCAAGTGTTTTTAATCATAATTGTCTTATGTATTATCTATCAAATTTACACTTTTACACAAAATATAATAAAAATTACAAAATAACTAGGAAGCCCTTACATACTAACAAAATAATCAGTCGGGGTCTGTGTTGGATTGAAACAAGCAAGATCCAAAACTGACCCAATTATTAGTCGAGACAAAACCACAGAACCAGAACCGATATAATCAGTTCCGTCAATTTGGGTCTGCCAGGTAGAACCAACTGATTGACAGCCCTACCCGAGGTGTATGCTTCAGAGGGATCAATGCCTCCAGCATGCACCTCAAGGTCATTTTGAGAGCGCCTCGTGCCTCCAGGCATATTGCCTTCCATACCTTTTAAAACATTGGTAGAGCTATTCCAAAACTCAAAGAACCTTTTTCTCTCCAAAATCCTATCATTCTTAATTGACTAAAAATTTGCAAGTCCTAGAATCAATATTAACATTATTTAGAATTGGTATTTATTCTGCGGCTCTGCCAGAACCAAGTTTTCAGATATCAATTCCTACTTTTGTTCACACTAATTGATAGGCAGTAAGGGGCGTGAGACACACCCAATGCAACTTTACCTGTCTCACTATCGGATTTGTTGATGTGGTGAACTCATCAGTCATTCCTTCCCAGACGACTCTCCCCTCATAGAGGAACAATAACCTATGTTGAAAGACCTTGCTGTTAGCTTAAGACATTTTGAAAATACTATGTATTTGGTTTTGATATAAAATAAGAGAAAACAGAACATTGATGGAAGTTCTCAACAAAGTTTGTGAAATTCCTTAATAACTTTCCCTCAACTTTCTTTTATCAAACCAAATACAGTATAAATGTTATTTGATAGAAAATTTACCTGTCCACAGCTCTTCTTATGGTACTATGTTGGTGAGTGACAACCACATAAGATGCAATTTTCCCTGGTTTCCCCATAGCATCTTCACCCTTCAAATGGACAGAGCGGATCAGATCTTCAACCACAGTAGATGCAATGGGATCAAGTCCAGCAGTAGGTTCGTCATACAAGAGCACCTAATCAGGAAAACAAAAAGAAAAAGAAAATTCTCTTAAGAAACATAACAAGTTTGTATTGCAAGTAACCTTTCTCATAAGTTTCCAAAAAATGAGTATCATGGCATCATGCAGTCTCCAATAGACCAAATATAATTTTATAGATTCAAACAAAGAGAAAAAAAAAAGGTAAGATAAAAAACCAGGGGCAATCATCAATCGGAATCTAAGAAAGCAGTGTGGTTCAAACTGATCATAATTCATAAGGGCTGTACTACTATAGAGAACTAATGTTAAAGGTGTTTCAGTAATTTACCTTTTAATTATTTGGGGTATCATTGTAATTTTCATTTCCATTAAGAAAGTATAAAAATAGAGATGAAAGGACATCAGAGCCCATGTTTCTTTTGAGGCTTACAACTTATAAGCCTGATGTGTTCACCAATTCATTTGAGGCATACAACAACTCATAAGCCGCACCCATCCATCAGGTATCTATGCATAGGAGATTTTTTTTCTACCATGTCATACATGTTCTTCCACTAGACATCCAGCTATAGGTAATGACTTCTTTTGCTTTCTAGGCTACTAAATTTTGAGTATTTCCAGATAATGTAAAGATGAGAAAAACAGCTTGCTTTTGGCCATGCAAAACAAAATAGGCTGAAAAACATCTATTAAATTCCAAAAACAAGAGAAGAGCTCTCTTCAACTACTGGTTATATTAATTTGAACATACCTCTGGTTCTATTGTCTCCTTTGTGTTGTCATAAATTATCGACCGAGCCAATGCCACTCGTTTCTTCATTCCACCAGACAGCTCCGAAGGCAATCGATCCTCAACTCCCTGCATGAATGTCAAGTTAATTTTTTCTTCACATCTTCGAGTGATGAATTTGCATATTTGCATAAAAGTCCAAAGTTTAGTTTAGAAAGGCTTTGAGGATAAACTAAGGTTTGCTTTAGGCATTGCTGAGATAAAGGTACATTTTCAGGGATTAGACTGAATATCAGACCAGCATGGGCAGAGGTTCAGTAAGTTGTAGATTCTTGTAGGATGGTTTAGAGTGGTGTGAACTGTGGAGGTATTGACACCTACTAGAGAGGCTAAAACCCTGGCATCCTGAGCGAAGATCTAATTCCACTGGATATGAAATCAGAAAATATTTTGGTGGATGCTCTTGATAGGGAAGGGGTTGATAGGGCTCCTTTTTTCATAGTACAAGACACTTCTTCTCTTATGCATTCGTATGGAGTTGAGTTTTGTTAGAGTCGGCTGTACAGGGGTATTTTGGTCATTTTATTTTATATTAAGAGTGTGGTGTAAAGTCATTTATATTCTGGTTTAAGCATTATGTCCCATACTTAATTAGGGGCATAAGTGTTAAGGGTGTAAATGGATCGAATTCGAACTGAATCAGGCAATATCCAAGTTTGAACCCAATTAGGAAATCTGATATCCGAATTCGATTCGATATCCAGCAGATATTGAAAATTAATGTTCGAATTCGATTAAATATTTGAATATTCAATTTGAATTTGATCAATAAATATTTTATTTATATAAACTACATAAATATATAAATTACTTATATAATTCAATTATTATATATATAAATTATATAAAACATTTAAATATTTTATATAAGAATTAAGTAATCGGTCGAATTTGGATATTTACCGAATCGAATCAGGTCATATCCAAATTCGAATCCGATTAGCTATTTGATATGAATAGGATATCTGAATTCAACCGATTAAATATTCGAATTATCCAAATTCAATTCGATTATGTTGAATCTCGAATTCGATTCGAAATCGGATTTTCGAATACCGTTGACACCCCTAATAAGTGTCTTTGTGCTTTTAATTAGAAACATATAAATAATACCTGGCTGACTAGAGATAGAATAGTTCTCTAGTCCGAACCAGTTCTCTCTCTCTCTCTCTGCTACTAATCTCTGTTATTCTAGGGCTGAAACCAGTACAGATCAGTTCTGTAACAAGTTGTGCCTCCAGGTACATGAGGTCCATGTTGGTCTAGTACTTTATGCATGTACCTTGCCACTCCTTTGGATTAATAAATTTCTGTTATGAGAGAGAGGGTGCCCATTAGATATACTTAATGATTTATCAAATTTACTGCTGTGTGATCAGCAGAGAAATGAGTTGGAAATAAACCAGAAATAAATCTGAGTTTTAGTTAAGAGAAAATAGAAAAAGAAGAAGAAAGAGGAAGTTCAGAAGGAAGAAGAAAGTGGGAAGAAGAAGAAAGAAGAGAGCTAAGTGATCCTCTTTTCAGTCGCCTAAAACCTTTATTAAAGCTGATTGTAACTTAGGTACAATTACAAGGATGCCCTCAGTGGGGTGGCTAACTCAGTAAAGATGATAAAAAAGAAACAAAACTGGCCCATTAACTTAACATGACACGCTATTAGCAGCACAAATAAAATAAAAGGATTAAGGCCCATTCAGCCCATCATATTGAGCATAGATATCAATAATACCCAGCTTGCTTACATAGTGTTGTAACTTTGCTTTAGGACACCCTTGGTCAAAACATCTGCTAAATGTTCTTCTAAAGAAATGAAAGGAAGGCAAACATCTCTTGATGCCACTCTTTCTCTTATGAAATGCTTGTCTACTTCAATGTGCTTTGTTCTATCATGTTGAACTGGATTATAAGCAATATTAATGGCTGGCTAATTATCATAGTACAACATCAGAGGCTTATCATAGGCAATGCCCATCTCTTCTAGAAGGGACTTAAGCTACAACAACTTTGAAACTCCATGGGCCATGGTCCTATATTCTACCTCAGCTAAGCATCTGGCTACAACAAATTGCTTTTTACTTCTCTACAAGACATCTCCTGCTACCATAACACAGTAACCACACGTGGATCTCCTGTCATTTATATTTCCAGCCTAATCAGCATCTGTATAAGTCACCAACTTCATATGTCCATACTTAGCAAAGAGGAAGCCCTTTCCCGAGGTCTCCTATGGATCCCAATGTGAAGATAATTGATAGTCAGGAGGAGCCATTAGAAGACCCCACAAGATACCGGAGATTGGTAGGCAAGCTGGTCTATCTTACCATCACTAGGCCTGACATCTCCTTTAATGTTGGAGTCCTCAATCAATTCATGTAGAATGCTACAACTGTTGACTACTCATTTGGATGGTATTATGAGGGAGTTGATGTATCTAAAGGGTGCTCCCAGTCGAGAGTTGTATAATAAAAGGGGAGATATATCTTTGGTAGGGTATTCAAATGCAAATTGTGCAGGGTCTCCAACGGACAGGAAGTCTACTACAAGTTATTGTACCTTCTTGTACAGAAATCTTGTCACTTGGAAAAGCAAGAAGTAGAGTGTGGTTGTTAGGAGTAGTGCTGAAGCTAAATACAAGCAATGGCCCATGCTACTTGTAAGCTAGTTTGGCTAAAGCATCTTCTTCAGGAGATGAATATCACAATTAGACAACCCATTAAATTATCTTGTGACAACCAAGACACAACACATATTACCTCCGATCCAATGTTTCATGAAAGGACTAAACATATTGAAGTTGATTGCCATTTTGTGAGAGATAAAGTAACAAATGGAGATATTGTTACTCCCTATGTTAAATCTGAAGACCAAGCAATTGATATTTTTACTAAAAGTTTGGGTCGCTCAAGGATGGATTACATTTGTAACAAACTAGAACTTTATGATACATATGCTCTAGATTGAGTGGGAGTCTTAGAATTGTTAGAATTAGTTGGAAGGGTCATACTTGTCTTTTCCCTTGTTATTTTTTATCTCTTATATGTGTTGTAGCTTATCTAGGGGCATTGTTGTCATTTCAGAAATCAGTAAAATGTTAATACAAGCTGGGTCAACAGTGAGGAGAGTGAGTTCGACTTCTCCTTGCTTGTCTTCCCTCTTTTCTTCTCTTCCTCTTCTCTATCTCTTCCCTACCTTCTACCTTTGCTTCTTTTTCTCTGTTTTCTTTCACTTTACTTCTCTTTATTGAAGTTGGAATAAGGTCAAATTATAGTATACAGAGAAACTCCTCTCCCCCTACTTGCAGGTTGAGGAAGCTGCTTGCAAGATAAATCTTTGCATAATGCCATTGTTCTGAATAGGTACATTTAGCTTGCTCCCAAATCTCATACGCCACATGACCTATGGCAGCATGGACAGTAGCAGGCTCAACATCACCATACTATTTTCTTTATCCCACTTATCATGGTCTACACTCCCAGACTTCGACTCTTTAATCTTACCATTAATATCACCTATCTTTCGCCTTGCAGTTATGTAGAGTTTAATTTCCTTTGACCATTCTAGGTAACTAAGTCCATCAAAGGGAATTACAGCCATAGGAAAGTTCATATCAAATCCCCCACTCAATCCACCATGAATCCTCAAAAGACATGCTAGGAGAGGTCTGATTTCACTATTCAGTCACAAAGAACAGCAGAAAAGAGAGATTATCACTGCTATCATAAGAACACTTGATTTCTACAAACCAGCACTATAGAATCATTCCCCTTGTTCACACCAAAAATCACACACTACCACACTGCTGAAAAAAATTCCAGAGGTAAAAAACAGACTATTCATGTTATGGACAGCCCCTACAAGTATCATGTCACCCTATTTCAGGCCACACAAGCACTGCAATCACCAAAACAATGTAGAGAACTGATGCTGCAGCAGGTACAGGTCATACAGACCAATACAACCCACCTACCTGGGTACAAAAAGGAACACACGAACCACATGGAACTCTATTCACCCCTCTTTCGGGTGATTTCTTGGCATACAAGAAAAAAAAGGGGAAAAAAGCATAGGAACCACTTACAGGTCAGCTGATGCACTTCCCTCTAGATTCAATCCAAAAAGAAAAGAAGTCTGAAGGAAAAAAAAAAAAAAAAACTTGATTGGACTGTCTTTAATCCCAAAGCCGATGCTCTGATACCATGTTTTCTTAGTAGGAAGTGTTAGAAAGTCAGAGGAGAGAAGAGAGAAGAAAGATTCAGAATCAAAAAGATAGGCTGGCAGCGTCAGTTTAAATATTTATACTAGGGCGACCCAAGACATAAAAATCAAGAGAAAAAATTACAAATGTGCCCCTGCAGCACTAAAGAATAAACATATGATAGTTTAACACTCAATATACGCTACTTTACATGCTAGAAACTAGTTTTGCATACTCTCCTAAATGGATGAAGTATCCATGTCAAACACACATTGGATTCTTGAGGGGCACTTCAATGTAAGGTTTTCCTTTTTTTTCCCCCTAGATTATTTGATATAAATGAACAACCAACATACAATATGAATTCCATTTTTCCCATAAAATGTTACTTTCTTCTAGGACACATGTCAGATCAGACACACCCCCCCCC